TCCAACCCAAACCATTCTTTGATTCTATGGTTTTTCAAACAATACATTGTTCAGAGTCAGCAATTCACATCCTGCAAGAGAGTTACAGATACTTCTTTTACAATGCTTCCTTTCCAGTGGCAAAGGAAATTAAGGCCATCACACTTGCACCTTATAAATTCACCTACAGAAAATACAAAAATATGTTGTGCTTCTGAGAAGGCTCTGTTCTGTAGGCAAAGATTACCATGATTTGAGGAACCTGGCTGACTGGAAGTTTACATTATCTCACAGTTTCTGGTAGATGTCCTTGGTGCTGCCTGTTATGAACAGAAAAGAGTCATCCTTGAAAAAAAATTCTGCAGTAAAATATTTAGCAACTCAAAATAATATGCTGTACATTTTTGATATAAGAAATTATAGCCTAGCATGGTCTAAGCAAGAATCAGCATGCAACACAGCTGTACAACCCGTTATCCACTGTAAGTGAAGTAATGCTGGATAACCTTTCATATGAAAAGTAAGAGAGAACAGGTACAAGAAAAATGGAACTTTAATTATGGTATTTGAATCTCAAGTAAAAAGGCATCATTGAGTTCAGACAGGTGGTGAATACTGCAGGGAGCATTTACAAATACCTTGAGATATTTTATCTAAAAAAAGCCTAATCTCTATAAAATTTTAGTAGCTTTACTTATATAGGCACAGTTTAGCTCAACTACACCATCCCAGAAACCATAAGAGCAACTGGATGCACTTCAGTACTTTTGCATAACTGCAATACAAACCTGACTCTATATTAAATCCCACAAAGTTATGCTTCAATTATAGGCCAAAACCCATGGTTGCCAAAAAATACCATTTCCCACACAGCCAACTCTCTCAATTTTTTGTCTGTTTACATATGCACACTTAATTACTGTTCTATAGTATCCTTCCTAAGCCACTTTAAGATATACACTAACTGAAATGTAGCAAAGCAGCCAACTTGAATATTGCATTACAGGAACTTATTTCTTTTTTTTTTTTTAAGAACTGATCAAAACAGTGAAGTAGAAAAAAACTCAATGTGAACAATCAAGCATGTCATAGCTCAATATTTTCCCTTATTTCAAAACAGTTTATATTGTCACTGCAAGTTCACACCTTTCTATTGCCTTCAGAGTGGCCTTTCTTGATGACTTAGATATCCATTTTTTCAACCTCAGTAACCTTGTTAACCTAAAACAAGATACCTGCTGGTGGGGAAGGTCTTCTTCCTCCTCAGCTTCATGTGCTTCTTCCTCAGATTCCCTCTCTTCCCTTTCACATACAGTTGTTTTAAAGACAGTGCTTCTCTGAGCAACCTCCTGCAACAAAGTTTTATTTTTAAGACTTGACTCCTCTAATGATCTGGTGCTAACCTACTTAGCTTTTGAGAGATGAGAGTTTCAGCTCTAGGGAAACCTGCTTGCACTGATTTTGTCTATGCAGAGCAGTATATGAAAATTATATAAACAGCATTCATAATGTCTTAGTTTTAATTTTCTCAGTGATTAAAAAGAGTCTAACAAGACACTCAAAGTTCTTCCAAAGTTTGTTTTAGTATATTTAAATACTGTATTTCAATTGTAAGAGGTCATAGTAACTGTCCTACTGAAACTTTTAACTCCCACCTTACCAGAATTAATGCCTCATTGCTTAAATCAAGATTCCCTGTAACATTCCCATCTACCAGAAGAACTGTTTTAAGGAAAACTGTTCTAAGCTTACTAAAACCTCTTATTTTCAAAGCATATCTTGGGGCACTGCCCAATTCTTGGCATAAGGGCAGTGTCTGAACAAGTGATTCTTCTACTACTTATATTCAATATAGGGAAAAAAACTTCACATGCTTCGATGGATTGCATTCCTAAATTGCAGTTAGAGACAGCAGCACAGAATGCTTGGTTGAAAAGCAAAAGGAGAAAACTTTACCATGTGCATTCATGTGTAAAGTCCTAACAATGGTTCTACCTGCATCTTTATAGGCGATGACACCACAAAAAGACAAGTTTAAATACATCTGAGGTACTTTACCTCTCCCTGAGAATTTTTCAGTACAACCTTCACATCTTTACCAGTGCCCCAAGAATTCTGGTTCTTCCAGATGAGGTCAGTAGGAGGGGTAGCAGTTACTCCAGCATTTGCAGCCCAGATCTATTAAAAGAAGTCCTATGTGACCATTACTTGCTACTCTTATACATTTCCATGTTATTTACTGAGTTAATGTGTTCCATTTAAGCAACACTAGTCAATCTCCTCCAATTAAGAAAATACAAGTCTCTGCCTACTTACTTCCAAAGTTTCTTACAATAAAATACCCCTACATTTTTCAGTGCAGAGACTTTTGAATACGTAAAAGCACCTGTTTATGGTCAAAATTATTGGTACATAGCAAGTAAGCTTCTGAAAAACATGGCTCTGTCCAGCTTCTTCCCAGCAACTGATACAACTAATGGCCAATACAAATATAAGTGATTATTTTCTGAACAGGTACATAGAAAGGACAAAACTAAAAACCTTGTGTCTTATTGACACATACAAATCAGCCTAAAGCTCGTTTCAACTGAACATCTGCAGCTTGCCAACTTACTGTAGCAGTCTGGCCTGCCTTTAGTATATATCTTGAGGTGTATCTGTAAGTAGCGGAAGTATCTCCTATTTTTCGGATCATCTCCCAACCTCCCATAGGTTGAGCCTAATAAAAAGGAGAAAAAACAGAATCCCATCAGCGCTAATTTTCTGGTACATGTGTAAGGTATTTTACATATAAGTCCATAAGGCACATAAAATTTTCAGTTAAAATGTTTCTTATCACTTGATCTTCAGTATGCAATTAGAATAATCATAGTTAAATTTGTCTTATCTCTTATTTCAAGTTAAATCTTAATACATCCTGCATTCTGTTTTCAGTTCTGATGCTCTATTAAGTTTTATAATTTACATTAGTTTTGTTATCGCTCGGGCCAGAAAAATCCATAAATATTGAAATCCCCTTATAAATATATTTTTTCTGAACCACAGAACAACCAGGCTTCTTAGAAAACAAAATATTTGTCAGTCTTCTTAAAATATGTTTCTACATACACACACCTCCTACTACACACTCCTTGCAAGACCTGTATGATTTCTTCCTTTCAATCATTTTTGCCTATAAACTACCTGAAAAACAGTAGCAAATAAAATAGAAAAAAAAAACCAACCAAGTCATTATTACAGAATGACCATTTCAAAACAAGAGTAGATCTCTAAATTCTCCCACCGTTTCCAAACATTAAACAGTTGCCACTTGAGTCTGAAAACAGACAGGTAATACCATCATCAAATCTAGACCCCGGCAAAGTGGACCATCTATGGCTACTGGTAACAGAACTTATGATCCTTCCACAGAACAATGAATGTGTAGTTAAATTAGAAAAAAAGGGGGAGAAATCCATGTAGTACACAAAGTAGGAGGGGGGATATCCCATATGTTTGAAAAACTTAAAAAGGAAAAAAAATTACAGGTCCTGACTCATTTTTATTTTTCTGAATTCATTCATCTAAACACTTAGCTGTCTAGACCAAGACAGTTGTCAAGGTTTCTTCCATCCAGTAGAGTCAGCACTCTCAGCTGACACCTCAGGCAGGTAATTAAGATACATACATCTTACCATCTGGAGGAGTCTCTCCATTTCTTCACTGATTAGAGACACTTGGAACCAAGACCAATCTTTGTCATACAAAACATCAAGATCAGCTGCCTTTTAGTAAAGAATCTGATAACACTAGACAAAGCCTATGTGTCACTGAGAACAAAGAATGCAGCTAACACTTCTACATACAGCTGAGGCACAGACAGCATAGCAGAAGGTGGGAATTACTTAAACATTCTCTGAAATGAATGCTGCAAGAAATTAGGTCTTGTAATTCTGGTGTCCTAATGAGACAATGCTCAATTCTCTCTTCTTCCAGACAGGATTTAAGAAATCATAGTCCCCACTCTCCAACCCCTCCTGCAATGGACTTGCAGAATTGTACATCTTATAGGACTTATTTTTCTTAAGAAGAAATTAAAAGTAATATCGGGGAGGGGGAGAGAGGGTCAGGGGAGAAATGTACTGAATAACAGTTGGCATCACTCTGAGGGCAAGATAAGGAAAAGTTTTGATTACACTCAAATGAAGTACCCTTTTATAAATAGATATGTGTAACCCTCCCATACAAATGCTAACCTATTCCTAGAATGAAGTAATCTAAGTAGCCAGCACAAAGATGACTTTAGCATGGGAACTGAGGGCTCCTAAAAACTGTGGATACAACCAAGGAGGAAGGAACACTATGATTTAGGGAAGCTATATGCAAGTACAAGGGACATAGGCAATTAATTACATTTAGACATTTATTTTGCATCAGTATATATTTCTTATGGGGCTTAAGGCTGAGAGGGTTCTTAAAAGGCTTCTAAAGCAGCTTACTGCTTGCACTATTTCCTATCAGTGACAATGTTATCTTTAAAGCTTTACAGGCAGATCACTTGCAAGGCAGAACTCCGAAGAGTGATATAACACTTTGGTGGATGGGCAACCTAGCAATAAAACAATTGCTATGAAAAGCATTAAAAAACATTAAGAAGAAGTCATAATCAACCCAGAATACCATATGAAAGCTTCTTTTGTGACATACTAGTTTCTTAGTGCCATCTCTTATACAGCATGCTCCAGCTCGGTGAAGCCTGAGGGCTGACAGGGTGTTGAGGATGTCTTCTACCTCTAATCAGCTCATTGTAAAGTCATGATACCTGTGCATTTTCAAACCTGTTCAGAGGTGTTCTTCAAGCGGATGAATTTTCCATCAACATCTATCTCCTCAATAGAGACATTTCCAGTAGCAGAAGCCGAGTGGGAAATGGTAACACTACTGCTGGCTTCAGATTCTTCCACATCAACCCTCTTCCTCTTCCCTCTGGCTGTACGCACACTATGGCTCGATGAAGCCCGTGAAACTGTCACTCGGGAAGATTGTCTTGGAGAAAATTTTAACCTATATTTAAGAAAGGAAGAAATAGGCATACATCGCACTTAGATTTTACTTTATCCACCTTTATTTATGAACTTTCTTCCTCTCTCCTCTTCTTCCCATAGAATGATATAGCAAAAAGATACAGGAATATAGTAAACAAAGCATGTTACATGAAAAAGTGAAGCCTTAGGTACTTTTTGAAGAATTGACTAAAATGTTGTCAAACAGCTGATTAATGTTTTTGGAACATATAATACTGATGGACTACTACTTTAAGATCATAAAGGCACTTCTATGCATTTGTTAAAGACTACACATTCCTGGATAGATGGAACAAGTAAAGAAAAAAACTTAGGGGGACTTAAGCCACTGCAGGAAATTTATGCAAAAACTCAATGGCACAAGAGCTTTTGCTGGTTCATCCCCACACTTAAGAATCAGCCTGAACCAGCAGGATGTCATTCAGAAAACAGTGAAGTATCAAATTAAAGTCACAGCTGTGACTTCTCAGGCGAAAATTCTCCGTATTGCTGAACTCTTGAGGTCAAATGTCAAAAATGCAGCTAGCTGATAAGCTGTGCAACCATAACAGCTATTACTTTACTAAAATTATTCTATATCTGAAGAAATTTGACTAACAATTAAACTACCCTGTAATTAACTCTGAAAACGAATGTTAACCATGGGACCAAATAGACCTATAAATGACAATTCATTATGTCCTCTGTGCTAAATCTTAATAGAAGAATGGCATTTGTTCCCTTGAGAATTATTGGTCTGATACTCAAGCAGCTTGGTCTCATGGAGGCTTAGAATTAAGTGGGTCAGAGAGAAGGGGACAAAAACAAACTGTGCCATGGAAACTGTAGTAATGCAATTAATAAATGCATTCCCAGTAAGAACTGCCTTTTAACAGACAGTGAGACAAGTAAGCAAAACACACAGATTCCGGCATTTATTGCTACATTCTTTCATACCTTTCCTCTTCACCCTCCAGCAATTTCCGGTATGCATTGATTTCGATATCAAGAGCCAGTTTAACATCCAGAAGTTGTTCGTAGTCACTCAGCTGCTCCTGCATCTGATTTCTCATCTCTGCTATTTCCTTCTCTTTTTCAGACAGTATTTTGCGAGAGTTTTCCCGTTCCTCAGCCAAGCGGTCCTCAAGCTCTTGCACTCTATCTTGCCATGCTCTACACTAGAAAGCATTGAAAACATGAGTGGTGCAAAGGAAAGATCACCTACACCTTCATGCAGTCTACTAATCAGGCAATGCAGAATTCAGAATGTTAGGTTAAGCACACTCCCCTCCTTTCTGAATTCAAACTCAGCCATATTCACCTTCCTGTTCCCCATCTCATCTACTACAAACATAAAACCTTAAGTTCCAGCGAAACACACAACATACTTTGAAAGACAACTACCTGCTCCATTCTTCTGAGATCTGAAGATATATTACTACACCTGAATTCACTCAGTCAAGAAAAATTGAGCTTGAGTCAAACCATTTAAAACATGCTACACAGGACACACAATGAAAGTACAGCTCAGTGTACTACAGATCCTGCAGTAACTGCTCTTAAGCAGGAAGTAGACATCTGAAAGCTATAGTTTACTGCTGCCAATTCTGAATTCTGGGAGGAAGTTCCTCTAAAGGAATAAGGGTTGTCATCAGTGAAAGCCTGACTGCCTGTTATGAAAGCCTTCAAGACTTGCTGAAAGTACAGTGGTAGGTGTTCCATGAAGAAAGCTAATTTGTCACATCATTTAAAATCATATCAAGCCAGTAGAGCTCACTGTACATACGGAATAGAACGCTTGCCAAAGCAAGGCCAAATTATGACAACTTTAAAGTTTCATTTCTCTGAGCCTGCTTTCTTCTGTTTGATAGTCTCTTGAGATTCTTTTCAGTTGAAGGACAGAAGCAGGAACCAATGCCCCATATCACCCTCTCTGGTTAAGTCACCAAGTTTGCCATGTCAGCACCCTACTTATGATGGCATCATAGTCCAGAAACAATGAAAACAGGCAGTCTAAAAGACTGACTTAGGTGACCAGTGTAACTGGTTGTCAGTGTCAAGAGTCACATAAGGAATTTAATGAAAGGAGCTGTGTGTCACATGGAAGATCCCAGTGGAAACTACTACAGAGCTCAGTGTTGGTAACTCAAACCAGACCAGCATAGGTGACAAAAGAGTTGTCTTCTTCCAAGAGAACAAAGCTAGTTAGTGCTATCAAATGGAAAACAAAACCCTACTGGCTGACATCACTAGCACTACCAAAAAAAAATGACAGCAGCAAAACGGGTTTTTTGGTGGACAATTACAGTAAAACTAGCAGAACTTGATTTTGACATCCCTGAAGTTAACAATCAACACTTCTGCAAATTCAGAAATTCTCTGAACCTAGCTGTGACTCCCAAGTAAGCAACAGAACAGAAGTAAATTAAGAAAGAAAAAAACCTCAAACATCTGTTGACTGAACTACCAAATGAAAGATGATGGTAATATAAAGGCAGAAATAAGATCGAAGCAGACAAAACTCTCAGTCCAATTCTTGTGTAACTTCAATAAACATTCATTATAGCACCTGATCTTTTTCAGAGACTAACTTGTCTAAGAGGAAAACTGGGAAGACTCATTCTAGTATCTGCCAAATCATTTGGAAAGTTGCAAAATAATGTTCCCTGCAAACATAATTGAGGTCCTGCAGGAGTCTACTGTACAGAAGGAATACCATTCAAAATGTATTGTAGAAAAGATCAGAGCCAAATTTCCTAATATTTTATATTAAAAAAAGTCTTGTTGCATTTTCAACTGATTAGTAAGTTAGAAAAACCCACTTCAGAACTAACTCCTAACATGTCTCATTTTCACTCTAGATTTTCCATTGCAGTGCACATGACATTCCCATCAAATTAGCTAGTACTGAACATATGGTATGGCTTGTCATAGGTTGTGTCATACCTCTTTGGATGTGATCTATGTGCTCTGTGATCTAATTAAGTACAATTGGTTTCTGCTCAAGACCCTGCTCTACAAATGCTCAAGTACTGTTATTTGATGTATTTTCTCAGTCCCATATTTCAACTTAATCCTAGTAAGATCACTTTTTTTTTAAGCGTTACAGATGCAAACTCCATCTATGATAAAAAGAGATACCAAATAGACATGGACTCTATATTCGAGCTCTGACTTTGGATGTTGCTTTGTGGAATCCTCTGATAGACTGTCCAATTACTACAGAACAGAAATAAACTGCTTAGAATGTCAAGCACTTTTAATACATAGCTCTTGTCTAAAACTGTCCCATCTATCCACAAAAGTTTCTGCAAAAGCCTGTTAACAGTACCATCTTTCAAGTACTCTGCAGCAGGATACAACACAAAAATTTCAACTCTGTCAAAAGAAGACATTAAGAAATTTGAAAAAGTACAGAACAGTAGAACAGAAGACAAACTCAAGTCATGATGCTCAACAAACAAGTTAAGGGAAAGGAAGTCCTTTAATATAAAAATAAACAACTGTAATTAGCAAGACTGAAGAGTAACAAACAGCTTATTACCTCTTTCTGAAGGCTAGCAAGATGTGAAGACAGATTATCAATTCGTACAAGACTTTCATTCAGTTCTTCTCTTGCTGAGTTAGCTTTAGCATTGCTCATCTCAGAGGACAGTCTAGCATTCTCAAGCTGCAGTAAATCAAGACAAAGTTCACTTTTATTAAAAGAAAAATGAGCCACTAGAAGCCACACATAACATTAAGCCTCAAAGTTCCTCTCTGCAGCTCTAACACAACAAAACATCTCTTTCTGAAGAAGTTAAATATGGTGGCTCAATTACTATGCTGGATTGCCCTACCTGAAATCACAATCCTCTGCATACTTTATTATAGGATTAAAAACTTAAGTTTCCCTTGTAGACATTACTGAAGTTGGACTGCTAAGTTCAATTTTCATGCTGGCCAATGTTTAGCTTTATATATTTAACTACCGTAGCACTGGTTTTGAGTATGCTTAAATATAAGCTAAACTGAAATTACCAGTTCTTTACAAACAAGCAAACTTATGTTACCTTTCAGACAACATAAGCAAATTTGTAATGTACCTTCAGATTACAGTACCAGTGTCATACTGTTTCATTCTATCACAGCTTCAAGCTCAAATAATTTTAAACTGGTCTGAACACTACCACATCCACTTGAGCAGCACCACAGACTTATTATTGAACTCATAGTTGCAGATGATATGGAGTCTAAAAAACCTTTTTGAAATATAAGAATCCAAAAATACAGAAACAGTATACCTGAAGAGAAGGAACAAGAAAGCCTCAATTATGAAAGGCTTTTTACAGTAAAAAAAATGTAAAATATTTTTGGCTAGATCTTATTTACAATAAGTTTTTCCAAGTCAGATTGAAGCCCTGAAGATAAGCAACTGCACACTGTTAAGACTGTAAAGACTGAAAAGTATGCCAGTAAATCCAGTTTGTATCAACTTTTATGCTGTATATACTTTTCTACTGTAACATCCCACCTCATTTTTAAAAATTCTAACTGCAGCAAGTATAGCCAGAGAAACCAGGTTTGGTTGAAACATCAGGATCCCTCCTGACAGAATTGCTCATAGATGCATTTCGTAATTTCCTTCCTCTACTGATTTCAGCTTGAGTACACTTCACCTCCAGAACAGTGAAAAGCAGAAATCTTTGGGTGTGGTAAAACTTCCACAACTTTTGTACAGGGTCAGAGGACTTGGGATGCTGTCTTCTCAGCAAGCCCTATTATGAAACGAGTATTAAACAAAATACAGGACACTTTATTGATCAAGACTATGTTATAGTTGATACATAACACACGAACTTTCCTTGAATTCATTAGTCAGTACTAATCACCTTTCCCCCACATTCACCTTCACACAGTGCTTCCTGCTCTTATATTATTGTGCTTACAGGGTTTTAAACCTGCTCCCAAAATTAGACCTGAAAATGCAAATTCACATTCAAAAGCATGGTAATTTTAAAATGAGCTGCACAATAAAATTATCTGAAATCCAAGTAATTAGGGTAACTTTCCACTAAACAAAACAAAGCACAACAGACAACTGTATGAAAAGATGTTCTCACTTTGGCAAGGTAAGCCTGTTCAAGCTCTTTTTTGCACAAGTTCATTTGTGTGTCATGCTGTTCTCTTAGATCACGAAGAGCTTGGGTCAGTTTACGTTCATATTCAGTTTGACACCCAGAATCAACCTCAACTATGCAAGCTTCGAGTTTCTTTCTTGTTTCCTTGATTTGCTAAGAAAAACAGAATAAAACAGCATTCAGTAAATGAGACAAAACAAGTTTTAGAAGACTATCCACTGAGTAGATAGCAATGCAGAATTTAGCTAGCCTTGTAGATCAGCATTAAACTAGTTTGTTTGAAATTGAAACTTTCAGCAGAAACACGAGGCCATTTCCCTGGTCTGACCTCCACAGTACTTTATTTTGCAATAGCCAGTCACTGAAATAAGAGCTAAGTTACCATCAGCATGTAAGGTCACATTTCCTTCTGAGAGCTGTCTGCATTTACAACAATTACACCTCAATATGACCAGATTTTAGAAATGCATTCCCCCTTTCTTTAGGTATCTTCTATCCTTGCACAAAATGAAAGTACTGTGAAATTAAACATGGACTTTCACTAATCAGCATTTTCTCCATTTATTTGTATGCCTGGCTGTGGTATCTGCAAAAAAGCATTTCAACAACATGAACAAAGCTGAAAACATAACTAGCAAGGAAGTGTGCACACAAAACAAAAGACAGTACATTTGTTACTGCTCTAATATTCCTCCTGGAAAGCCTCAAATACTACAATTGAAATGGAGGCTGGTAAGAAAAAGGTCTAAGAAACAAATATTCATCAACTTCTGTTTCCTTATTTCAAAAGCATCCTATTAGAAAGTTCTGAAATTAAAAAACAGTACAAGCCCATAGTACCTGTTTGTCCTTCTCCACTTTATTTCTCATAAAGAGATTATGTGAGAAATTATTAACCTACTGTCTCATTACTATGAAAAGATGTGCATATTGCAATACTACGGTCAGAATTTAACAGGAAACAACATGATACATGAAGCTATTTTATCACAAGAGCTCCAAAAGTTAACATTGTTTTTCCTAGAAAAAGATGTTGGAAGTCTTACAGCTAGAGGAGAGGTAAACCCTGCTCTGAGTAGGAGTTCAGACCAGGTGACTTCCTGAGGTCCCTCCCAACATAAATTACTTCAGTTGTCTTCTTTCCTTTAAAAACGTCAATTCTTGTCACTAAAGCATTTACCTCCTCATAAATATTTTTATGGAATTCCCAGTCTTCAGTGAGGCTCTGACAGCGGTTTTCAAGATCCACCTTCCTTAAGAGTTCATGTGTAAGCTGTTCCTTGGCAGCAGCTAAAGAAACTTCAAGCTTGAAGAAAAAGAAATAAAAGAATCAACACAACAATGACTATGTAGCCTAACTCACATAACACAATGACCTTAGCTACTAGAAGTACTGCTAACTACATGTTATGGTTGACCTTGGCAATCAAATCCAGTATTTGCACCACCGTCTTTTTCCCCCCTTCAACTATCGTTGCGCAAGTGAGTTCTAGATATTTCTCATTGGTAACTAGCATTAAAATGCTACTTATCAATTTTCCTTACAAAACTTCAGTTTTCCTACATGGCGAAAGCCAGTTTCCTGGTCTTCCTCAATTCATCCTCCCGAGGTTATGTTGCTTAAGATCACAAATCATGTGTTTCAACAGGTTTTTCCCCTCTTTGTTCTATCAGATGCCCAGAAGATGGAGAACCACAGGCAGAACCAAAAGGAGGGCAGAGGGAATCACAAGCTGTTACTTGTCAGTTATTTGTTATCAGTACTTGTGAAGTCAGTCTATCCCCCAAAACAGTTCTACAATTTGTCAAGTTTATGTTGACTCTTGGCCTGCTCCCTTCAAGGAGTACCATCCCTTTCAATTTCAGAGTCAGCAATTTTAAAAGCATTCTATTCCACCATTCATGTTATTAATAACTGAAGAGTACCAGACACAGCTACTCAATACTGCTTCCAATGGTGACAGCAAATCACAGTTTGTTCTAGTTGTGACTAGATGATAGGTTTGCACCCATTTTTTGACTACAAAGTTCCATTTTAGCACAACAACAGCTCTTAATTTGGACATTATTATAACTAAAAACACCTCATTTGCTGACAGTAGCTTGATGATTAAATATTTCTTCTCACCTGTACAATTTGATCTTTTAAATCCCCAACTTCTTCCTCCAGACTTTTCTTATCACCAAGGGCTGTGGCCAGTGCAGCTTCTTTAGAGGTAAGGGCTGCTTCAAACTCTCGAAGTTTGATTTGGGCTCCATTAAGATGAGATTCTTTTTTTGCGTAGCTGGAATAAATCAGGGAAAGTGGTAAGAAAGTCTAGAAATATCCCCAAAGTAGACTGCTGACTAATAAAATAAGGTGCAATCCAAATCTTCAACTTGAGACACCCAACAAAAGCATTTTGTCTTGGCTCAATTTACTTTAATTTAAATCAGCTCCTTAGTTCTGCTTTCTCATCTGCTACAATAAAACTTAATATTTCGCTTGGGCTATAGAAACTTAAATATAGGGGAAAGTCAGTGTCAAAAAAGTCTGAGAGGCATACACAGAAAGGGGAAACTGGGTTTATTAAAGGTACCTTTTTTCTCTTTAGCTAGGCACTGTAAAAACGTCCTACCTTCTCTTGAATCTTAATAGGAAGAAGAAAGTTCTCACATCAGAAGGCCCTTTCCATAGGGTGGAAACAAGCAAACTACCTTCATGGCCTCTTATCCACATAGGAACTTGTGCAGATTCACTGTCTGGGCTGCATATAGCCCATTTCCAATTAACAGACCAACTTCAATGAAAATTGATGTTCATTATCTTTAAGCCAGTCTTCTATAAGCAGAAGCCATAGCATAGTGAAATGCTTTGCAGCAGCCTTCTAATCATACATAATGGCAAAGTTCTACAGATCGGAGGAAAGATACCCATATCCTGTCTACACGATAGTCTGTGCCATCACCAAAACTGCACTGGTGGAGAGGTACAGATGTCTTTTTCTTCATGAGAGCAAACACAAACTTTTCAAATTATTATTCAGATGAGTTTTCATGTCTACACAAGCAGTCAAACAGTTTCTAGGGGTTTATTCCCTAAAACAGCATATGCAAACAAAAAAGTCAAATGAGAAAAAGTAATGCCACATAAACACAAACCCACACTCTTCAACCTAAATCAGCTACTTATACATAATGCTACAAGCAGCTGCTATCAAACATAAGGGAAAGGAAAATCTGCATCAGAGAGGGCAGTGGCCAGCCACTGCCTACCATGCATGCAGAGGTTTGTGTGGCAGTTGGCATGGAAGGGCACCTCTTCAAAGGAGGGCAAACCTGAGGACCAGGCAAAGCAAGGACGTCCTCCCTACCCTCCAGGCAGAATGGCAGGTACTCACCTTAGAGCAAAGGCTGCAGCTCTGGCTGGGGGGTCTGCACCATCTGCTCCTGAAGTGACTGATGCCTCCGCCCAGGTGGAGCTGCGGAAGGGAGAGGCTGAGGTGCAGACGTTGGACTGCAGGAGGTGCCTGGACCCTTCTCCTGCGCCAGGGGGCAGACCTGCCTGCACAAGGTGTGCGCAGGTGGAGGAGCTCCTGTGGCAGGTGACTGAGCTGCAGGAGGGAGCGAGAAGGCTGCGTAGTGTCAGGGAAGCTGAGAAGGAGATGGACAGCTGGTTCCAGGCACAGTCTGCTGTGGACCCACAACCCATGGATAAACAACCAATAACTGCTCTACCTGTACACCCAGAAGAAAGGCGGGCCACTAATGCAGACAGGGTGGAAGCCAGTAATGCAGAGGAATGGAAGCTTGCAAAGGCAATGGCAAGGACCAACAGGAGGAAGAGGGTTCCTCCAAAGGCTGAAGTGCCCTTGCAGAATTGTTTCACTGCTCTGTAAACTGAAGAGGAAGGACCTGTTGCATCACAAGAGACAGTGGAGCCAAGCAAGGCAGGCCAATCTGCTCCTCATATAATGACTAGCTCAAATAAGAAAAACCAACGGGTGATAGTAATAGGCAACTCTCTTCTGAGAGGTATGGAGGCACCCATTTGCTGGCCTGACCCTCTCTCTAGAGAGGTGTGCTACTTGCCGGGGGCTTATATTAGAGATGTGATCAAGAGGCTACCAAACCTCATGCAGCGTATCAAGTACTATCCGCTACTATTGTTTCACATGGGCAGCAGCAACATGGCCAGAAGGAGCCTGAGAAACATCAAGAAAGATTACAAAGCCCTCAGAGAGGCAATAAGGGACTCTGGAGCACAGGTGGTTTTCTCGTCAGTCCTCCCAGCTGAAGGGAAAGGGTATGAAAGGGCAGATAGAATTTTGCATATCCATAAATGGTTGCAGGAATGGTGCTACACCCAGGGATTTGGCTACTTAAATCATGGGACTTGCTTCAAGAAGCCTGGTCTACTTGGGGGCTGACAGGATCCATCTGTCTGAGAAGGGGAAGAGAATCTTTGGTTGCAGGCTTGCCAACCTGGTGAAGAAGGCTTTAAACTAATATTGCTGGCAGAAGGGAGGCTAAATCCATCCCACTCTTGCCACTCTGCTGACAGATGAGCCAGCAATAGATGCCCAGAGCCTGGAAAAGATTCACAGGCTGGCATGAGAGCAGCTGGAGAGCAGCACACAGGAGGTCCAGCCTCTTTGGGAGTCCAGCTTAAGTGCTTATACATGAATGCACATAGTTTGGGGAATAAACAAGAGAAGCTGGAGATGTGTGCACGCCTGCAGGGATACAATCTTGTTGGCATCATAGATCCATCCCAACATGCATGGGAAATATTTTGTAAAATGACTGCCACTATGAGAAGATTTCAAAGTGACAAGCGTAATTAAAAGCTCTCTTTTCAAATGCAGTTCACGGCTCACACACAAACGTTTCCCACCACACGAGCCTCAGAACACTGCAAGGGCCCAAGCAAAATGCATTTATAAACTGCCAAACGTGCAAAGGCACTTGGTACCAATTCTCCCCCCTCTCACACTCCCTGAAGAGTGTGGGACATTGGGATGGATCCTGTGACTGCAGTGTTGCAATGGAGGGATAAGAGCTCTTTAGGAAGGACAGGTAGGGGAGATGAAGAGGGGACATGGCATGGAGCTCCACCAGGGGTTAGATGAGGACCCAACAGATTACTTACAGGTCAAGACCAAAGGGAGACCAGGGACAGGGGACATTGTAGCAGACCCCCACTACAAGCCACCTGACCAAGAATAAGTGGATGAGGCCCTCTATAGACAGAT